CCGCAGGGTGTGCTGCACGGGGCACGGCACTGTCCCCTCCCTGTCCCCCCAGCCCCTCCTCAGCCCCAGCCCATTTCTGACACCACCACCATTCCGCCCCCGTCCCCTTTCAGCCCTGTCTGCATCCCATTCCTCTGCATCTCCATCCCCATTCCTGTCCCTTCTTCTTCCCATTCACACCCCATCCTCAAGCCCATCCCATCCTATCCCTATTTTGATCCCATCTCACCTCACCCCATTCCAATCCTATCCCCATCCCCTTCCCATTCTATCCCTATCTCTATCCCATCCCACCCCATTCCCATCCCATCCTACCCCATCTCCATCCCTTCCCATCCCCATTGCATTTCTATCCCATCTCCATCCTCCGTTCCCTCCCATCCTATCCCCATCCATCCCATCCCCGTTCCCATCCCATCCCACCTCAGCCCATCCCCACCCTCATCCCTATCCCCATCCCCATTCCTCACCACTCCCATTCCCGCTCCCAGCCAGGCTCAGCCCCATCAGGATGGAGCTGTCCAGGCAGGATCTGCCCAGATGCCAACTGGCCATTGCTGTTCCTCGTTTAGGCTAATTAACACTTCTCTGCCCAGCTCCTCCCACCCGTCACCTCAGCGATGTCCTCGGGGGTCTGGCCCAGGCTGGCGAACACGTCCCTGGAGTTCCTCAGGTAGAGGTCAGTGAAGATTTTGGCCGTCTCGGGGTCTGTCCGGGAGTAGTCGGCGCGTTCGGCCTCCTCGTACAGCTTCATCTCGAACTCCGTCACCACCGGCCCCGGCTCTACCAGGCTGATCCTGCCCGGGGAGGGGTTGCTGGGCACTGGGCCCCCCCAGACCCCCGTCCCAGGGGGCTGCAGACCCCCCCAGTCCCACACTCACGCCACGTTGAAGCGCAGGGCCTGCACCACCAGGCTCTCGCAGAAACCCTCCACCGCGAACTTGGAGGCCGAGTAGATGTCGTTGAAGACGATGCCTGGGTGGGTTGGGGGGTCCCGGTCAGGGCTGAGGGCGGGGCTGGCCCCCCCAGGGTGCCCCGTGCCCCCGTACCCTGCAGGCCCATGATGCTGCTGATGACCACGATGTGGCCCCCGCGGCGCCGCTTCATGTCCGGCAGCACCTCCTTGACGAGGCGGACGAGGCCGAAGAAGTTGGTGTCCATGAGGCTCTGCATGGCCGCCAGACTCTGGCTCTCCAGCGGGCCCACCATGCCCACCCCGGCGTTGCTGACTGAGGGCAGGGGGCATCAGTGGGGGCAGACCCCAGGTGGGGGGATCCCACACCCAAGGCATGGAGGGTCCCCGATGCTCAGAGGGTCCCCAGCGTGGGATGTCCTGGCAGTGAAGGGTCCCTGGTGCACAGGTTGTCCCCAGCACGGGGGGTCCCTGTTACAGGGGGTCCCTGGTGTGTGTGGTCGGGTCCCTGGCACAGAGGGTCCCCTGTGCTCAGAGAGTCCCCAGCATGGGATTTCCTGGGTTTGGAGGCTCCCTGGTACATGGAATGTCCCTGGCACAGAGAGTGCCTGGTTCATGGGGTCAAAGGGTCTCTGATGCATGAGATGTCCCTGTCATGCCCCCCCAGCACTGGGGGCACAAAGTGTCCCCGGCCTGGGACAAGCTTGTCAGGGACAGCCCCCAGCACAGGGGGTGTTCCCACTGTGGGGTGTCCCTGTCACAGAGGTTCCCAGCCCAGGGCTCCCCACGGCCAGGGTGGGAGGGGGGTGCCAGGGCTCACCCAGGACATCCACGTGGCGCCCCGGGATGCTGTCCGAGGCAGGTACGGATGGAGCCCTCTCAACAGTCCAGCTGTTTGATCTCCCAGCGTCCACGGCCCAGCGCCGCGCCCCGGCCGCCGCCGCACGCCGCGATCCCGGCCCCCCCCCAAAAAGACGTTTTTTCCCCCCTGCCGATGGTGGCGAATCAACTGCGGGGCCACGGCGCGGCTCAGCCCGCGCGGGGTCCCCCGGGGCGGGGGGGGTCCCTCCTCTGCCCCGCTACCTTGGAAGCGGCGCTGCTTGGTCCCGCGCCAGCCGCACGGCGCGGCCAGCCGATGCCCGAGGACAGCCAGTGATCCAGCCACCGTCCTTGGGAGCCATGGCACGGCCCTGTGGCCAACTCCCAGCCCCCCCCGCCTTTTATAGCAGCTGCCCCGGCCTGGGCCCCCCCCCAAATCCGGGCCCTTAATCCTCCCCTGGATAATCCGCCCTCCGCTCCCTGGGGATTTGCGGGCGGCCGCGTGGCTGAGCCACACGTGGTGCCCCGGGCACACAGAGGGGCCTTTGTGCGGGACCTGGGGCACCGTGGGGACACGGCAGGACACGGGGACGCTGCCAGCCGTGTGCCACTGGCAGCGGGGGGCTGTGGGGACCCCCCGGTTCTGCCTTTGGAGAGGACGAGGCAGGAGCTCTGCAAAACAACTAACTTTATTGTCACTGGTATAAAACACGTCCCAGTTTTTTCAAACTGGCCTTTGGTGGGACGTGGGGGACGCGGT